AAAAAAAGTACACAGCGTTTGCAAATAACGTTCGAACTCTATTATATTTCAAAAATCTCGGATATGAAAATTACGTTTCAGTAGCACTTTAAGATGACGTTTTTTATGTTTTCCACTGATAAGTTTTAGTTGAGACATTTTTTCGCGAAATCACGGCGAGTGAAAACCATAGATCCATCAAGGCGTTTCTAGCTTTGATGTTCTTAGTCGCAAAATATTCTCCGTCATTTTCCATATCTTTACAGGCTTGAAAAGAATACGTTCTTTTATCGTCAATTCCAGGCTCTCAATGAACCACACGAAACCGCAGTCTGTGATTGGTTAAGAAATAACTCATGATAACAAAAAAGAACCAGAGAAACGGCTTAAACCTACCACCATGGGTCTTCCTTTAGTTTCAATCGGTAACATAAGAGTGAACACCACACAGACTAGCGACATCACTCCATAAACACCTAATGCCAAACGTAGTGAAACTCTGAGCAGCACCTAAAACACAATGACACGTGGTTAAGGTTGAGCCAAGATCCACGTTCTTACTTATCAGTATTGTAAATTGTGAACCTAACTATCTATTTGTTTCGTTAAAAAGTGAATGAGAATCACATGATTTAGAACATTGATTGACATTTAAGCTTTGTACTTTAGATCACATTTCAGTCAGTTAATCAATTTCAAAAGGAAAGGTCTTGTATAAGTTGCTAACCCGAAAGAAGCCTTTAAGCTAACCTGTAGCCAACGGCCCGCCAAAGAAGTAAGTAAACATGATTGTCAAATTATATTTTAAGCTATTTTGGAGTCGAATTATTGTATGAGAATTTAGTTGTATATAGATACAAACGGTTTTGTACTGTCCTTTGCCAGATCGAATAATTGCAATATCGTCAATAAATAACAATCAAATTACACGATTTGTGGTGGATCAGTTCGTCGGCCTTACTTTCTACGCGGAACACTTTTAAGCGAAGAAATTTGGTTGAGAGGATCCCCGCGGCCAATTATGATTTGAGAACCAAGTCATCATAAGCAACCAGGACCCTTGCATGTTCACAGCAGTCTTCATTTGAGTGTCACATGTAACTTTTCGTTACATTGATTTTGCTTTACAAAACCGCGGCAACTGGTCCAGAGACGATTTCCTCTAACGAAGGGCTAATGCTTGAAACTTCAGCTTCAGAATCTCTTTAGGGTGGCCAATTCTCATTATCAGTTTAGTTGATAACAGCAAATCATTTAGTTTTTACTTTGAGTTCTCACAGGTCCTTGAGACCGCCGCACTTTCCCTGAGATTGCTGTAGTATTTATTTTACGATAATTTATCAACAACCCTGGTGAAAAACCTCACAGGATCTTTCAGGATCTTTGCAGATTGTCAAAGAACTGCCAAAGATCCTTAAAGCCAAGGATCTTCAACGATCCTAAAAAGATCTGTGAAAGATCTCTTAAGATTTTAATTGTAAAATCAATTAATAAGATCCTATTAGAGATCCTTGCAAAGTTTTTGGTAAGGACCCTTTAATATCCTCGAGGACAAAACAAGGATCCTGTCTGGGATCTTATCAAGTTCTTTGCTAAGATCGTCAGGGGGGATTTGGTCAGGATCTTACAAGTATACTAGTCAAGCTCTTTGCAAGATCTGTGCAAGGATCCTTCAAGATCCCCAAGGACGGAACATGAATCTTTAAAAGATCTTAAGAAGATCCTTTTCTAGATCCTGTTAAGATCTTTGCTAGGATCCTCAGGGATTTGATCAGCATCATATAAGGATCTTGGTGAACATCTTTGCAAGATCTGTTTAAGGATCCATGAAGATCCTCAAGTATTTATTGAGGATCTTTCAAAGACCTAATGGCACATTAACCCAGGTTTCCATAAAAAGGCCCGCATCGATCCAATCGTCTCCAAACTAATATGATTGAGATATTAATCTGAGCCATAGTATTGAATGTGCTGGAGGCATGAACAAGACTATTATAAGACCACCTATTCAAACTTTTCCATATAAAGAGATAACGGAAACGCAAGATATGTTACTTGCTGTATAGATCATCATCATTATTCTTCTCGTCTGTCATGGAGAAGGAGCATCTAACCAATTAAATGTTTCCGTACCTAAAATGAATTTAAAGTCCATACCTGTGAGATAAAAGGCGTAACCATAGCTCCGATACGCGCCATTGCGCTGCAACATCCTAGAGCCAAAGCACGAATTACAGTGGGATAAACCTGTATCAAACAAAAAAGGCCAAATCGATTTTTGTGTGAACTAAACCGTACCTTTACCTTTAATTCGTCCCAAGTCGGGAAGAAAATAAGGAGGGACGGGAGATCGAAGAGGTACAATTCCTCCATAAAACTGGGCGCTTCCTTGCCAAAGGCTCTTCTAATATTCAGGGTGGTCTTACGGAGTACAAGACATTTTTATTATTCGCGTCACACAAAAGACAGTCAAAAATAACTCTTGAGGGTTTATTCGTATCAGTCCATAAAAAACGCAAAAAAGTAAAATAGGCCAATATCCAGCCATCTTGACCGAACAAGCTTGGTCAATAACGCATATAAGTTAATACAATTTACCTCGGGTGTGTAGACGTAAAATCCTTGAAAAGCCCCTGATATAAATCCTCTGACCCCAAATATAAAAATAGTCATCATAGTTCTAAAAGGGACAGAAGACTTCGTTAAATAGGGGTCTGCTTCTGCGAATTTGGCTAATGTCACTTCCAGTCATGAAGTGTATATCATTTGTGCATAAAGTATTTCACAGGATGAAAAACCTCGAGCATTACCTTCCTGAACAGATGAAGAGTAAAAAATAACACACAGCAGTAAGAAAGAATTGAACGGCCATTGTTTTCTTTCTTCCAAGTTTTTCTATACAAAGCATGGTTACAATGATACCTGTAGCAAAAACAAAACCGGCGATTCATGATTTCAAGACTTGGTTTGAAGTTTACATGTTTATGCACCAAGCTGCAAATAAACTTAGTCGTAACGATGTGGTACGAAATAAGGGACTTAAATAAGACGAAAATAAGGCACGAAATAAGGGAGAAGAAAAGAAAGAAAGGTAAATCTTACCCACCTGATTGCCAATTTCTACCAGAGCTTATGGTTTATGTAAGGCGTAGAAACAACTGTACATTGCAGGGAAATAGCCATACAGTACCTGGAAATTCAGCGAGTGTTGTCCACATCATGTCTGTGTAGTCTTTTAAAGTAAGAAGCTGACATCCACAATCAGGATTCTTCATTACATTACTGTCGGCTGCAATGAAAACAAATCCACACTTAATAATTTCAAGGTGACAAATTCACTCCACGTCATAAGTTTTTGTGGAACTATCAAACTAGCGGTGTTGTATCCGGATTAAGGATTGAAAAGCTGATTGTGCAAAACAAGTTGAAGCTTACCTTATTTCACTATTACGTTTTTTGGGAGGGAATAGTACTATGTTGATTAATTTTACTTTTTTTTTAGAAAATCCAAATCATTAATGCAGAATGGAAACATTCTATCCTGTTAATATTTCTCATTTGCTGCATGTAAATGTTTTTTCCCTTACAATGTTGATAGGCTTACACAGGCAAGCAGACAACTGTAGTGCAGCGTTGGTGCAGGGTATAACAAGATAATTTGGTTTTATCAACTGAATGTATCCTGTGAATTAGTCACCATAAAGAGTTTCTAAAGTTGACGTTTCGAGCGTTAGCCCTAGGTCAGAGCGAATGTTATGTTCGGCTTGCATGGTTACCCGCTACTCTTAGGAAGATGCCTGAAATCCTATCACAAACAAAAACAGAGAACTGGACTGAAGAGAGAGGCAAAAATTGAGCCAACACATGCATTAATCTATGATGACGACCTGAAACAAGTACCTGCTTTTTACAACTGTGTTGATACATATTCTAGTAGATAGGAAATTTGGGGCCATTTCACCATGGTAGTTTCATAGAGGGGTTTAATTTGCTTATCCATTCCTGTGTGGTACTCTTAAAAAATGAGCCTTCAATAGTTAGTATAAATATAATTATAAATCATGAGGGTTTTCTTAGTCTTAACTGACCGTTACAGTTTCCACCAGATTCATTTAGGCCTTGGTACATTTCTGTGGTCATTAATACTATCCCATAATATGTGAAGGCCAAATTAATCCTACAAATAAAGACACTTGTTAATATTTTGAAATCCACATTGAAATCAAATGAAGCAAATAGATGTTAATCTTTTCACGTATTGCTATTGGATTTGAAGTATTAATCTACATGTACTTGTGGCTCCACACCACATTTAACAACTCACATCTACAAACAAAATTATAAAGTAAATGTCCAAGAAAGTACACTTACCATATAAACCATAGAAGAAATGTTGTTTTTCTGTATTCTGGGCTAAACAAGTCTCTAACCCTTCCCTGTTTGCCATTCTGAGAGGAAAAAATTAACAACAGGGGTTACAATAGCAGCTGCAAAGCAAGTAGATCTACCTGTCAGTAATGAGCTGGCTCCCTGCCTGTATTCTAATAACACAAACGTAAAGTCCCTACTAACACACAAGTGATTCTCATCAAATTTGTTAAAATTCTTCGACTTCTTGGAACAACATTTAACAAGTTGAAGTAAATTGGAAAAGACCCAAACATCCAGGAGTCTCTACCTTCAAAATTTCCCACAGGAGCCCTGACTTCAAAAGGAAAAAAAGGAGCCTGCAGTCCTTCAAAACTAACTACCTGCTATGCTAAACTTCTACCCATTTGCACCAAGTTTTAATGAAACCACTAATGAAAGCAAATTAAGGCACATGATTGTATAGTTTTCAAAATTCAAAGCATACTTGTAAAATAATTTACAATAACGGTTAGTAGAAATCCTCACCATAGTTAATAGTTCGCTCTATTAACTATGTTCTCACGCACTCATTCATAAGGAGACATCATCAGTTTAACAAATAGATTCCATTTTGCTGCACATCTGTTTAGTAAAAGATCACAGATGGGTCCAATTGGGTCTGTTCAGTTATAGATCACAGCTAGAACACACCAAAGTGTGGTAAGAACTTCGGTGATATGCTCAGCTTCTCCTTGTGTTCCACTTTTTTGTTCCACATTTTGATGTAATCTGTGATCTGAAAATGAAATCTACAGTATTTCTCAAATAGACAATTAATGAAAATTGTGGTCATTTGTTGAATAGAGCATTTGCACCAACCTCGCCTGCATCAAGGAGATATCCACTTGGTAATTCTTTTTTGTTAGTTCTTGCTGCCTTTTGAAGCATTACCAATGCCTTCTCTTTTTCACCAGCTGTGAGTAAATACCTACAGGACTCTGGAAGCCACTACAATGATGAAAAAGTAAAAATTAAAAAAAAAGTAATAATAATGAGTAAGAGAGTTAGATTCCTCCCCAAGTGCCTCACTATACTTTCCCCTGTCATCATCTGGCAGAGGTATCAACAGTATTTCCTATTTTTAAGGGTGCTACTCAAGTGTCAGATTTTTTGAAACTGAAACAGGCAAGTAGTCTTTCTTGAACTACCATACTTGACTGTTGACCAAACAATTTCTCTTTTTTCATACGCAGTTAAAGAGTAACCACTATTGATCAGTCTGTGGAAATTAAGGGACCAATGGAGAGATGGTTGCATTCAAAATGTTCCTAAAAATGAAACCTGCAGATCAATTTTTCAAACTTAACTGATTAGCAATTCATCTAATTAGCAAAACATGAAATACTTACATAACTCATTAAAAGAAAGCACAGAAGTGGTAAAGACAGAATTCCTAACAACCACCTCCAGCCTAATGTTGGCATCACAGCCATAGCAATTCCAACTGTAAAACATGATCCTACCGACCAGAAAAACTGTGGAAAAATATTCAAAGGGAGGTCAATTTCAAGTACCGGTATGTTAACTATGTGCTGTTTAGCTGTTTTAAAAATACACGCAGTGGTCAGGAACTAAACCTTAAGAAAAAAACCACCAAACAAATTGTTACATTGACAAGACCATAAGATTTATTCTCACTATCCATAAGGTTTTTTTCTAGTTTTATTTGACCAATACACCTGTATGCCTACTAAAAATTTGGACGGTTTCCAAAAGTATGAAAAAGTCTATCTATCAATACATGTCCATGCATCATAAGGAAGTACCGTAAAATGGAAATGAGTTTCCACTCTTTTGTTGTTATACATATTAAGCAAATCACTGAAAACAATATCATCTCCATGCATTGGAAAACAAGTTGAAAATACATCAAAAACATATTCATGAGTAATATAAAAATACTAAATTACAACGAGAGTCATAATTCTTACTGATAATGATAAAATGCAGTATGACCGTGCACTTGAAGGAAGAAACTCAGCAAGGAGAGTTGTCCTAAGAGAATTTTGAGAAAAAAAAGGTAAAGTTAATTTTCTGCTGGTTATAGTGATAACAGATGTTTAAAGAAGTACATTTTTCCTTAATTTGCTTTACAAAAAAATAATCATACCTTTAAAGGTACAGCACATGTTAGGAGAAGGATTTCAAACTTACGATTGTGGAGCACCACCAATTCCAAAACCAACTAAACAACGTAGAGCAATAATCCAGTAGTAATGAGGAGAAAAAGAGCTGATAAATCCAAAATAAAATATCCAGATGGCACAAATAACAATTATCTGCAAATACAGCAAAGAAACCAGGACAACATTAAATGGCTATCAAAATTAACACGAACCTAATCAACAATCCATACTTCTAAACAGACCATAAAGCCCACATCTGGGCCAAAGATTCCAATCGAAAAACTGAAAAAATTACATAAGAATTTAACCATGATTTACAGTGTTTCTCAAATCTACAGATAAGCTTCTTGCCAAAATAACAGAATCAATGAGATTTTTTATGGCCAAATCTACCCATATGCAAACCTATCCAGCCCTTTCACTGTGGCTCTCAAAATAGCCATCAGCATAGGTTCTGCTCTTGACATAACACCTCACACTAGTAACATCAATCACTCCTCCTCGTGATGAGATGGTCCATCCCAGGTTACCCCCCTCCCCTCCCCCTCCTCCGGCATGACAGGACGGAAAATGCGTGCACTGTAAGTACCTCCCGTTGCCCTATACAAAGCCTTAGAAAACTTTTCTAAGGCTCTCTATGGGGACAACAGAAGGTACTTACAGTGCACGCATTTTCCATCCTGTCATGATTGTATCAGATTTCCTTGACAGTCCACCTTTCTCTCTTGGTTGGAGAAGGGAACTGAAACAGACAGTTACCTAAAGTACCTTGCCAAAGAACACTGACAATACAATGACACAACCAGGGCTCAATCCCTCTACATCTGCAGCAGTCTAGCACGCCAACTGCTGGGTTTTAAGCGTGCTAATCAAAACTAGTTCTTTCAATGCAATATAAGTATTATTTACAGTCTTCCGTCCATAGCTATCTGCCAGCCATCCCCAGAAAGATGAACCAAACATCATTCCAACAAAAACAACCTGTAATTGAACAAAAAAAACAAAACAAAACAAAAGAAACCTCTATTTACCCTTGGCAGTGTTTATAGCACAAGTGCTAGTGGGGGCTGAGCAAACAACTGAAATAAATAATTCAAATTGAACATAACATTGTTAAGAATCTCAACTGGCCGTAGGCAAACCAGTTGGCTATTTACAAACATGGCTGAGGATTTGAACTCGGAGCTTCCGCGAAACAAATCCAGGTAGTGGTCAGCGTGGGACTCAAACCCGGGAGTGGTGGATTGCAAGTCCAACACGCTGACTACTCTGCCATGCTGCCTCTAGACAAAAAAGAGTTACAACAGCTGCTGTGAGAATAAACAAACCTGTAACTTGTGCCATCTCACACAATTTGATAACTGTAGTCAATTGCATAACTACTAATAAAAGTACTGTAACAATAACATGACTTATCAGGGCAGTGCTCCAAACAGAACCTGGGTGCTATGGACATCAAACATTTGAACACCTGTCTTAGCTAAAGGTAACTTGAAAAACTTGGTGTCATCACAGCTTTTAAAAGCTAGACAGTTCAGTGTTTTGGATGAGAGTCTGCAGTATGCAATCTGTTTCAGAGCACAGCCTCAGTGATTTGAACTCATCAGTCACCAGAGATCAAAATGCATATTGAAAGCTTAGATGTGTAATGATTAATTTGTTCTTACTGCAACAAGTTCTCAGGTTCTCATAGGAGGTTAAATCTACTAGCCATTAATTGCTGCTAGCTAGAATTTGTGGGAAAGAGGTGAAACCCTTATAAAGTAGAGTTCTAGACAAGGTTAGAGATATGAAACTTACAGTTGTAACCAAGGCCTCTTTCCAGGAAGGAAGGTGCCATATACAGCGTATTGTTGGCCCTAGAATTGAGAGTAGCATCATTTCCAAGGCATCAGCAATCTGAAATAATTATGACCACACACCTTAGTAATATGCCCATGATTACACCATAAATTATTTTATTCAATGGATTGGGAATCATTATAAGGAACTGTACTGGTACTCACTGTGAAAAAGCCAACTATTAACAACATTTTAATTTGAAATTTTCCAAAGCCAATTTTCTCCACTGCTTCAGACAGCGTGTATGTTAGTTCCCCTGAACCTGTGAAAAGAACAAAAAATCATTAAATCATAAAAAACTCAAATACTCTACCCAACCGAATTTGTGATACATGTAAACATCTTTTCATGAACAGATCTCAAAATCAGAAACCATAAACTTGACTTTAAATCTGAGGACCTCCAAAGTAAAAAGCAAGGTTACACGCCAAATTCATACCACTGTTATGAGACTAAATTACAAATTGAAGTAATTAATAAATACCTCTCGGCCTGGTACAAGCCAAGGAAATTATGCACTTTATGGATATATGTATTTGTCAAAACCCAAACAAACATGCATCTCAAACACACATCATTATGTACCCTAAGAGTGGTTCAGTGTAGTTATGAAACATAGAGTGGGAATCAAAATACCAGCCTGCTCTGAATATTTAGTTAAAGCAATGTATAATCAAAAATTTCGACCTTTGAAGTATCATTATTATAAATGTCCAAATTCAAATTTATCACACAAAATAAATTATTTGTATTTACTAAAAATAATGGATTGGGTTGACAAATAATACCACAAAAAATTGCACATATTGCAAAATTTTCATCCAGTCTTAAAACTTTTGCATTTCTTTAGCTCTAAATGTCTAGGCTTAATTAGGTAATATCACTACCAAAACTTTGTTTCTTGTTTATTCCCACATGCTTTAATTAGCTAGGAGCAAAGAAAATGTTTGGCCATCCCAGTGGCTAATGAAATTGTCTGGAAACACTGTCACTGTTATATATAATAAGAAAATTACTTCTTTTAAGAAGTCAAGGAATATTTTTCATATTCTTGTCCTTGTCTTGTCTCAAAATTTTCCATCCACATTATTCCAGGTACATCTTTACATTCATTTAATTTTTTTTTTGGCTTCCCTTTTCTATGACTTGCTTTTAGCTTTTCTACTCCACCTTTGCCACCAGCCATTAATATTATTGTTTATAGTTACTAAGATATATTTTTAATAAGCAGCAATGCAGAGGTTTCAAAAAGTTTTTAAGTAGACGGCATAAACTGCAAACAAGATCCATGGCTAAAGGAAGCTCAATTCTTACTCTGAAGTTTTAATTTCAAAGAAAATGGATAGCAATTAATATGTTGCCTGACATAGATGGCAGACATACCTGGTTGGCTCTCACTGAGACCCTTGCTATGGAAACTAGTCAAGATTGCTTTTATCCTTGCTAAACTGGGAAAGATCATTATAATAATGTTCTGGAAGCCTGGGGCAAAAACGTTTTCCCGTTTCCAAACTACAAAATCTGTCTCAGCATATTTTTCCACCCAGCTGAAGTGGTATACATTTGGCTTTTCAAAAATATACCTATAAAAATGTTTTTCTTGAATAGTCACATCCTTGGAGCTAAGGGTCTGGAGCTGGTTAAGCAAAAAGTCACCTTGATGAGGACAAAACTCTGTGCATTATTAATGGTATCGTTGTAAGATAGAAGCTTTATAGTATATAAAAAATGCAAAAGAGAGAATGAAAACTCTAATGCAACTTTTCCTGTCCGAGATCAAAAGATGAAAATTCAAAACAAGGATGGCGGCGCGTGGATGTTTTTCTACTTTTGTGAGAAGTTTCACTAAGAGCGTGTGTTTGATGTGTTGAGCAGCCACAGTGAATGCAGGAGATAGAAACTATGATAAAGAAGACGATTTTCAGATAAGTAAAGGTTGCTCCACTGCATATCTAAAAGAAATATTCAACCGATTTGAAACCTTGCGACGGTGAAAAAAGAAGAACACAAGTGAACGATAATCTACCTGAAGTGAAAGAAGACTTTGAAACTTCAAGGAAAATAATATGATGTAGCCAGAAGTCGTATGTAGGATTTTTAAGATGTGCCTGGGAGGCTGTCTTTGACAGCTGTTTAATGATTTTCTTAGCAGTAAAGGCGAATTTACGTTTGTAAACACCAGATTGTAGGCGCTCGCGTGAGCACACGCAATTGTCAGCGGTAGCTATAACAGATCATGAGCAAATGTCGATCTTATAGAATCCAGATTTTTAAATGCGCGAGAATGCGCATGGAAATTACTAAACTCACGAAAGCTATTGCATGAAAACAAGTGCGGTGACCCCTTCTTTTTATTGTTCCAATATGATAATAACGTTGAAAGGAATCATCAGAAAAAAAAACTAGTAAATTCTACGGAAGGAAATTTGCGAGGTGTGTAAATTGCCTTTTTTCTAGATTTTCTGAAATTCCGCTTCGTAGAATTTTTTTTAAATCTTTGTGCATTTTCCTTTTCAAGTGCCAAATGCAATCACTGAAAAGAAACACGGGGTCACCGGGTCAGTTTTCGAATTATTTAAGCCACAAGCTAAAAAATGCGTCTGAATACGCCTATGATAGCATTGCCATGGAAACTGCTAGAGATGAAATGATACCTATTTTTGAATAACCAATGATTATATAATTCAACCCTGTAAAAGTGTTCAACTGGCCTGGGTCAGTCTTTTTGTTGTATCCTCTCAAAGTTACAAACCATAAAAAAGATGAAAACTGGTAATTTAATTTAATTTAATTTAATAACTTCTAGAGCACTATTTTCATTCAATGATCAACAGCGCTTAACAACTTAGAATACTACAGTAAATTCAAATTTATAAAACTAATTACATGTACATTAATATCAACAATGTATGTTAAAAATAAGAATAATTTAGATCCATAATAAGGATCTTAATTAGGAAAAACAATCTAAATAAGGAACTTAATTAGTAATACTGTCTAATAAAAGTAATTGTCAGACAGGGTACTTTGAGAAAGCTGCACGAAATAAATAAGTTTTCAGCTTACATTTAACAAATGGTAAACACCACAGCGTACACTACTGAGTTATGGATGCACGCGGGAGGTTGCTACGCACGAAAGAAGTGTTTACAAGAGTCGCTCGAGGTGATAGCTGAGAGCGACTCTAGCTTTTTGAGTGCTTAGCAAACCTCCCAAGTGCATCCATAACTCAATAGTGTACGCTGTGGTGTTTACCATTTGTTTTATAACATAACATTGATACATTGTAGCTGAAGAGTTCCCTTTTATTTAACAAATCTTAGGTGACCAGAAAAAACAAGCGCACGCGGAAAAATAGTCTTGCATTTGCTCACGTCAGCAGAGTACACCCATGGGCAAATGCAGGACGCTAAATTGACCAATCAGAGCACGCGCTTTGCTTTGGTTATGTTATAATTAACAATTATTCCATGAGCGCGCGTTGGATATGAGATGATAGATAGCCAACGAGGCGCATAGCGCCTCGTTGGCTATAATCATCTCATATCCAACAAGCGCGAGTGGAATAATTGTTTTATTAAAAACGTTAAATTAAATTATTAAATTTTATTAAATTTTATGCACTGTTTTAATTTTAAGCTGACACATACGCTTGCCATATTTGTAGATTATGGTATATTGGCTGATATACTATAATGGCTTAGCCAATAAAAAGTCTTGAATTGCATTATCCAATTATCTAGTTTTTAATAATTTTTATTAAAAACTAGATCATCGGGTAATGCAATTCAAGACTTTTTATTGGCTAAGCCATTATAGTATATCAGCCAATATACCATAATCTACAAATACGGCAAGCGTACGTGGCAGCTTAAAATTAAAAGGGAGCTAAAAATTTGATAAAATTTTAATAATTTAATTTAACACTTTTAATAAAACAATTATTCCACGAGCGCTTGTTGGATATGAGATGATTATAGCCAACTCAGCGCTACGCGCCTCGTTGGCTATCTATCATCTCATATCCAACGCGCGCTGGTGGAATAATTGTTAAATGGAAAATGATTGAATATCACGTAATTCAGCTGGCAGAGCATTCCATAATGGTACCAGCCACCTCAACTGTAATATGTATATCTTGCATACAAACGTTCGTGTTTCATTTTTCCGGCGATTATCCTATCATCTTATGGTTTATCCTGTAGTCCTAAGTAACCGAAGATAGACTGAATTATCTCATGGTTGTAATTAAAAATAAAATAAATTACTTTTCTGAAGTTTGAAGTGCCGGATTTCAGTGGATCATAACCAAAAGAATTCAGGTACGCTTAGTAAAATGTAATTCTAGATGCTACTCAGTTTCCCTGTTCGGCTTGAATTGATACGAACGAAATAATTTTTTCAACCAGAACAAAGTAAACAGTTTGGTAAGCTTGATATTGATCGCATCTGTCGGTGGAACAAAATATTAGCCGAATGTGGTTATAGTGTATTGTGCATATTAATCGAGAATAAGATATCATTGGTATTTAATTGTTAGAAAACTAATTTCCCAATACATACAAAAAAAGCTAATACTTTTCTGTAGAATACGTTCTAGAAAACTCTTCCATTCCTCAGATTTGTGTTCATTAAAAAATACAATTAAGTTTATTGCGCATGAAGCCGAAATAATTTTTGGGTGACGTATTAACTTTCAGTATCGTGCTAACTTTCAGTATCAAAACAAAAAATTTCCGCGTTACCTTCGAACTCTTCATCTTCGAATTCATCTCCAGCGACTAAAGGCTGAAATACGTCCTCTGTTGGCCCATACGCCTCTTCAGTAGGGCGACGTGTAGGCGATCGCGACTTCGCGAAATAAACCTTGAGGTCGGTGTCATTACTTGTGGCATTCTCCATAATTCAAACGAACTCCGCCGGTTCGATTGAGATTTCGATGAAGATTTCTTTACACGATTTCGTAAAATATACTTCACTAGCGTTTAACATCTATTTCGTTGACAACACTTCAAAAAATTTGTCATTAAAGCGTTGCAAGCAAGATTGTCTCCTTCAGTTTATCAAAATTCGCCGCCGTCAATCTGATACCCATGATCCTTCGCGGACGCAAGGTCAAGGAAATGAATAATTAACAACTATTCACCAAAGTGTAGGTGGTTAGTGGTGGATATTTACCTCGCCGCTTCGCGGCTCGGTAAATATCCACCGCTAACCACCGACACTGAGGTGAATAGTTGTTTTAGTATATACTAAAACAGTGAGATAATATACACCACCGTCGTTAATTTGAGTGATTTCTTCGCTTGTCACGGATGCAAACCGGGACGCCATTTTTTCCCCGAGTTGCTCGGAGGTAAATAGCAAAGGATATTCGGAGTTTGACTAGCCAATCAGAGCGCGCCTTCAACGCTATCCACTGATAAATAAATCGCTATCCACTAATAAATATTGAATTTAGCAAGTGACTGGAACTTCAGTTGACGACGGCGAGCACAGCAAAACTACCGCGGGTAAGAAACTGGATCGAAAACATCGACCGTTGTTTTTCAAAGGTGACTTAGCAGTCCTTTCAACGAAATGTAAACGCAATGTCTGCTCTTGAATAGCCTAAACTCGGTTTTTCAAGGATCGCCAATACAAATTTTCGGTTTCACAAACAGCTTTAAGGACAACGAAACTATCCTCAGTTGAGAGTTTTGCAGCAAGCGCAAACAGAGGATAAATTATAGTTACGGCAAGTTAGATGTTAATGCATGAATCCAAATGGATGATTAAACTTTATAATTGATCCATTTCAGGTAAGACCTGTGTCTGTTGATTCATCTATCAAATTTTAGAGCCCATTAGATTTTTTTTTCTGCAATTTGTGTTGCTGTCATTTCGTTTCATGCCACTAGATTTTAGCACTGCTCATCTTTCTTCATAATTTTACAAAGTATAATTTTGGAAATCGACATCGTTTTCCCCCTTGTTTCCCCTTGTTTATTCATTACGGTACATCTCTTTTGAACATTGACTACTTAGAGATGCAATGCATTTTGAACGAGGTTATGGCGAAACCGTGTAGAAACAAAACGACCCAACGACGAAGTTGTTTACGATGAGTTCTTGTTTAACACTGAAAGAATGAATTGAACTCAAACAAGTCAGCCATGAAACGGTTAGGCTTAGGAAATAAGACTTCGTTTCTGTTTCTTTGTTCGTTTGTTTTGTTTTGTTTCTTTTTTTTTCAACGAAGTCGTTCAAGACCGAATTAAATTACTTGATTTGGAAAGTCGTCTCGAAATAGAATTGATTGTCATTTTCTTTTGTTTCGTGAGCACGACTCTCTTGTTTTTATTGGCGCTGGTTTGAAAAGTTTCAGACATAATATGTAGATTTAGCCAAGCCTAAAAGCGGAGCTCCCAAGTTCGTAATATTAATGATATTAAAAGATGTACATTTGCCAACACTCGCCTGAGACACCCCTCCCTTCGTCCTTCGTTTTGATAGTCTCCCCTTCCCTACCCTTGCAATCTGAAGGCACGTACGTACGTACGTACGTACGCCCAGTCAGTCACGTGACAACCAAACGAAAAGAAGTTGACCATATTCCATGGGTATGGGGCTCTGCCTCACGCGCGCGAACTTGGGAGCCCCGCTAAAAAAGTGCAAACCCCAGCAAATTCTCAAGTTATTTATCTCTGACTTCAATCTACAAAGCGTTCATTCTTGATCAGTAAAAACGACAACGACAACAAATAAAAAAAGAAATAGTACGGTATGCAAGCTTCGTGATATTTCATTTGATTGACTGCCGTAAACTTCAACATGCAGCATGGTTATTGATGAATTGATTTACAATAAAATTCAACAGCATCTCATTCTTAGAGTTTTCATATAAGCTTAAAGATATGTATTAAAGAAAAGCCCTTCCTTTATTTTGCAAAGCCTTGCTCAATTAAAAGCGAACTGAATCCTGAAATCTTGCATCGCTTGCCAACGATTGTGTTCTAATTTCCTTTCGGAAATCGAGCAAATTATAGCGGTACATTTTCACAAATACACCGCTTAAAACAAAGAAAGGGACCTAATTATCCTGGAGATGAGTTCTGAAATACTTCCAAACAGTATTATCTCGTTTGCATCGATTTACGAGAGCACAATTTACGCTAATCTCAGGCGTTCTGATCGCGACGGGAAAACCAGCGAAATGACATTCTAGACTTGTTTGGGAGAGCGGCAACGCCAACACCGGAAGTCGCTTGGTGTCGTGTCCAGACTATTCCGCGCGCTCTCCCGTTCTGAAATAATGACGTTCCCGTCTTCTTGCTAAATCCATCTAATAAGGAGGATTTGAGGCCAATCGTAAGCAGCGAAAGGGTTTAAAATAGCCTAAAGAGCCTTTTTAGTCGCGATTTTCGAAACTTATGATGCACGATACTTATGATGCACGATCCTCGCAGTAGAGAGCGCCATTTATGCAATAGCGAAAATCAGACCTGAAAAAAATCAGGCCTGTACAGGATTCGAACGACTGACCTCTGCGATACTAGTGCAGCGCTCTACCAATTGAGCTAACAAGCCAACTAGGAGCAGGCCGTTAAGTTGATTCGTAATAAACCCGTGATGATAAATCATGAGATACAATGAAATATATGAAGTTCATATATGAAGTTCATATATGAAGTTCAAAATATGTGAACTTCATATATTCATTGTATTAACCTTCATGTTTACTGTTTACTTTTCCTTGAAATGTTTGTGAGCGTATTAGGTTAAAAAGAATCGTGTCTGCTAGGCGCTTTCCTCTCGAGAAAGAATGTCTTGTTTGACGGTAGTATTAATAAACCCAGTCTTTGCAGAAAAAAGAACTGAAGATGGTCTCTCCACGTTCTCCAGTCTCGCGCCGGCCTCGCTTTCACAAATTTAGGCTTATTGACGGTGAGTCTTTAGTGGCTAGTATCAAAGCTGTTCAGACAGCCTCTTCTTATTAGCTATAACTTCTTCTGCTGCTGTAACAATTCAATCCAAGTTGATTTGCCGAATTTACGTTTGGGCCGCTTACTTGTCTTGAAACGGAGCAGTTTGAGAATCTTAAAAAATTTGCAATCCATTTTGATATTCCCAATCCAATATTTTGTGCCTCTTAGCTCATTTTTGTCGGCTCTTTGTGTTTTTCCACAACCGGCAGCATTGGACAGTCTCCTTCAAAATGAAGGTAGTTTTGAAAAGCACAAAACTGAAAAAGATGTCGTGTTTATCGCCTATAACAACCAAAGAGTATTAACACCTCTTACCGAGGCTGGAGTATCTATATACACAATACCACCATAAGTCAACTCTTGAAGCTACTCTACATCTCATGCTTGGTTGGGCAGGATAAACAACAGATTAATTACTTACTGTCCTCGCCACTATTCTCTATCGTGTTATAGTTCTTTCCAGTAAGAGCTTTCGGTTCGTTTGACCGTGATTCCTGACAGGATTCAAATAAATCCGTCAGTGGAGATGGGACTCCAGGAGAGGGTCTCCCTTCGGTGAAGTAACCGCTCATCGCCATTTCTCTTCAGTTGAACCTTTCAATAACAGAGTGATTTTGTTGGTGAGGTTCCGTTGCAGCTATGTGGAGAGAAGACACCTATAAGCTTAGAGTATCTTGTCAGCTTTTGCAGGCTTTAAATGGTAACAGCGTGTTATACATTGAAATTTCGCTGCGCTTTGCCGAAACTTGATTCCCGAAATAATGTTTTTCTTTAAGAGTTATATTGATGCAAGGTTATTTCTGCCAACTACTACAGAGGATTCGAAAGCCGATCTTGCAATATTTCAGTACTCCACCGTCTACCCTAGCTTGACTGGCTTGCGCTCCCACAATAAAGTTCTTAAGTGCAGAAATCAATATTTTCATTGTACATGTATAACCGACATGATTTGTGAATTGAATTGACTTATCCTATATAACGGGTTATCGTCGGTGGGTGCTTTAACTGTGTTCATAGCTGGTATCAACTGGTAAATACTTGTTAGCCCTAGTATGTTTACAATTGCTTTTCCATGGAAATATCCGCCTTTCTGGTTGCATGCCAATTTTATTATTCACCATCTCAAACCAGTTACGCGAGGATAACGGCTTTTCGTCACTGATGTTTATCAACATGATCTGTTTCTTTTTTAGAGAGGAATGAAGATTGTAAATATATGGTACTGGACAATAGGATTGTAGTCGAACGTTGCAAGTCTTCGGTTCAGTATAGCTTACGTAGCTGCCGGAAAAGGGCCGAATGATCTTCGGGATATGTACGGGCTACAGTATTAAAAGAATGGAAAATACTACATAGTGGATGAGCTTGATTATCACAATGACAAGGGAAAAATGGGGAAACGATAACTGCATGTTTATAGAAAGTGATAGAATTGACACCAATTTCTTTTGTTAAAAACATAGACCTGCTCTTAAGACTTACTATCCCTAAGTTCTCCGAAGCACGCTTTGAACAGAAATGCAGCGATAGTGGCAGTATTAATTAGAAGAGGAAGGTCTCCTCTTTTACTTCCAAAGTTCTGATGCTTCAGTTTCTGTTGTGTACGTTGCTGCAGTACCCATTACCAAATATATTTATCATGGGTTATGAAACACTTTCTTTGGGTGTTACAGGGTATGCTGTTACAATTGATTCACTAGCGGTAGGCTATATATATTCGAGTTGTTGTCATTTAAAGTTATTCGCGTCTTTCGACCGTCCCTACGCCCTCTAAATAAAATACCCATTGACCAGGGGTTATCAGGTTTTCTTAGACGTAGTTTTTGCATGCTGCTATATGAAAGGTTTAGCACGTTACGGAATCATAGTTCAGTAAGAACATAGTTTAGATTATTTTGTAAGGTGGTTTTTCCTGCTTTTCCTTTATAAATTTCCGAGTTTTCATTCTGTTTGTTGTATCAGTCCTATCCATTTTGTTGATGAAGGCATATTGAGGAAGGTCACGCACGGCTCGTGTTGACACACCCCAATTGGGGTTGCTAATTGAATGACAAATGTTTTATATTTCTTTGAGCGGAGTAGCGAATCAGAATATAACGCTTGTCACTACTGCTTGTTGTTCTGGTTTTTCAAAACTCCTGTTTGCGATGCGCTCGGGATGATATGGTCTTGATAGTCTCATTTGTTATTCTTGGCTTTCACGTGACGTCATCAAAATTAAAAGAATTAGGAACTGTCCATCCTTACGAGCCATATTTGTGCACCTCAGAACCATATTTGCACCCCTCAGAAGGACACAAACATGGTGTCTATATACAAAGTCTTTAAATTTGATTAAAACATTTCTTTCAAAGCCCCGCACGAAACATTGTGCAAGGACCTGAATCTTTGCGAGACTGTTTGAATATTCATCTTCTTTTATCGCTTGGATTTCAAGTTACTGTACTTGTTGAATGGTTTTGATAATGTGTGACAGTGAAAACCGGCAATACCGAAAAACCATCGTATAGCTCATTTCCTGTCACTATATTCATAATAGTGAATTCGCAGTCTGTGGAACTTATCGTTGGCTTGTGATGATTAGAAAAGAGCACAAAGCGACCTACCTATATACTGATGGACGGCGATCTCCACTGAATCAGAAAAAAAATTCAACATTTCCTTCAAGCCAACGCTAGGGTCTTGTTTCCGTGGAAAAAGAAAGGTTCCTTGCATCACTCTAAATGGTTTACTTTTGGTTTCTGTCCTGTATTTCTACACTTTCCGTTGTCGATAACTTTAATTGCTTGACATACCCTTAAAGATAACAAAGAAGCGAAGTGGCATCCACCTTTTAGACGCTATGGTCTAGTTAGCAGATATTTCCGAGATCATGCAATCTCCCTTGAAGTGTTCGTAGTCAATAAAATTGAGCAATGGCATCAAACGAAGAACCAATTACCAGAAGGCAGCGTTTGGACCAAGACGAGCCAAAAGCTAGATGGCGCGAATTTTCATGTTTCCATCTTTTAAAATAGAATTAGAAAATTCAGCGGTTTGTTTGCGATTCCACTCGGTTCTCGGCTTTTCTTGGGGTCGACTCACTGATACATGACCTGAAGTGCCGTCAGGAAAGTTAAAAGGTTTGCTTATGTCGAGACCGGGTCTTTTCATCACCGCTGCCGATAACAGACAAGAGTACAGTGACGTATTTTTCATATATTTCTTTTTCCATTGTAGTTTCTGTTGTCATTCTTTGCTGAAATCATGAAATTGTTTACAGTTTTAAATTGTACATGAGACAATGAGACGTTACTTCGAATAAAAAAAAAAAAGATAATCATGAAAGATGAAACAAAACAATCAAAGTTTATTTACCGGCGACCTCAGTATCTATGTGGGAATTTTTGTTTCCCTGAGGCTGATTTCCTACCTTCGAAAACGTGAAAACTCGTGTTTCCTTCGAGGCACACTTGACATTTCTCTTTCATGTCTATTTAGTCTCCACCAGAAAGACTCAGCTAAGTGCCTACTTGTATGAAAATCAGTAGTTAACTTTTCATTTGAACACAATCCAGCTATATTTGAGTTCATTTTTGTTTCTTTGGATTCCATGAGTTTTCTTGGCAATTGGTCCACCGCTAACAACATGCACTTGCGAAGGTCGATGTCAAAAAAGAATTCAACATTCACAAAATAAAAATTATAAGAAATATACAACGTTTTTTAGAGACATGTTTGGGCATGCTCATGCCATCTTCAATCAATGAGTAACTGAACGTGAGTAATTATATAACAGACAAGTAGATGAATAAAATATTTACAGTATGATGTAATACAAAAGCGGGTACTAATTACAGCGTGACAACAAACATGAAATTAAAGGTGTGAACTAAAATGCTAGAAAAGTGTTATAATGCTGTAATTGTTTGTTAAGTTCAGGTTTGATCTTATTTATATAAAAAGCTTCTTTGAGTTTTAAATCAATTGAGTTGTTGGCAGAATCCAGAATACTAAAGCAAGAAAGGGAGTATTTGTTCTTACAAGAAGGAGATGTGTTAAAATGCTTAAAAATATGCGAGTTTTTATCGCTTTCCGTGTGCTCCTTTATCCTAGTAGAGAAGTGGCGACTAGTTTCGCCAATATAACGGGAATTACATCCCGCACAAGAAAATTGATAAACTACCATGGATTTTAGAGCATCAGGAGTACGATCTTTAACACTGAACATGTTTTTAATTTTGAAAGAAGTGAAAACTAGTTTGATATTTAGGTCCGATTTACAAAAGCGCTTAGTGAGTTGTCGGAGTTTAAGGTTCGCTATTTTAGAATAATAGCCGACAAAAGGGAGTTTAAAGTAACGTGTATTATTGTCATCAATGTTCCGGCTATTTTGAGAGGAGGACCCGTCAAGATACCGCTTGAAAGTTCTTTCAATAATATGCGAAGGAAAAGAATTACGTTTTAAAGTGTCGGAAAGTTTCTTAAGATCGTTTTGAAG